CAGAGTGGGGAGGGAAAGGAAGCCATTCCAATTCTTGTGGCTCCAGTAGTTTGTGACATACTATCCCTGAAAGGATGGCGTTTCTCAAGATGGCACATGTTAGCAGCATTTCCTATTTAGTAAGGACAAAAATCCTAAGAACACATAGGCAAGGGTTCTTGAAATTTTTTTAGGTCAGAGCTCTTGGAGATTCTGACGACTGCCACAGACCCTCTCCCTATTACACAATATTGTCACTGATGATTTCGGAGGATTCTCAGACCCTCTCAAGGCCATCTATAAGCCTCTGGCTAAAGACCCGAGACACAGAGAGAAGCCGTGTGATCTCATCCACCTCCCTCCTCAGTGGACCCAAGACACAGAGAGAAGCCGTGTGATCCCATCCAGCTCCTCCTCAATGGGCTGGTTTGGCGTGGTCACCCATCCAGCCCCCATTCATCTATGTGTGTTCCATTCATACACACGTGAACCACCTGACCTCTCCTCTCTTCTTCACATGCTTATTTATACCATGGACAACCCGTGCTGGTCCTGATGGCTCTACCCATAACTTCTTTTTAGTGTCCCTGCCCTCCAAAGTCCAAAAGATTGTTTTACAGTCCAAAGACTATTTTAGGCATCTGGAATTGAGACACTCTAAAACTGAACCAGTTAGACAATGGCGATCTCTTGAATCAAAAGAGCATATAGAAAAGTTTGGAAGAAACAGAAATGAAGAGACTTGCAGAGACAGCCAAGAAAACAGAGGAAACACAGAGCTTTAGAGTCCTGCTGGTTCTCCGCTCCCCTGAGGTTTCTGTGTGCTTCCCACAGGCAAGCCCGGTGGGAGTCCTCTGAATTCCCGACACTAATTCCTCTGAACTTTGGCTTACACGGTGGATTACCGATCCTTGCTAGCAAAATTCTGGACTAAGTTCTATAACCAAAGTGCCAGGGGATGTTAGCATGTTAGCCCCTCACCTGCGCAAGCCTCAGTCCTCACAGGGGATGAGATGAGCACCATTATCATCTCTATCTATGAGTGAGGCCACAAGGCTCCAAGGCGTCGGCAATCCACAGCACCCGGAATATAATCTCAACTCCTTTCCATCCCCTGTCCGTTTGTGTATTCCAATCCCTAAGAATTTCTCCACTTTAATCTCCTGTCAGACTTTTCATGCATAATACTGCACGATCATGTTGCATTTTTTTTGTGGGTCTCAAATTTACCAGGCTCCATCAGCACGATCATGTTGCATTTTTTTTGTGGGTCTCAAATTTACCAGGCTCCATCAGATCTCAGGACCTTCGCACCTGCTGTCCTCTCTGTCTGGAATACACATATGTCCCTGATGCAAGGCTGGCTCATCTCTTCCAGTTCAAACTTGACCTTTTCAGAGAGGTCTTTTCTGACTGCCTCAGGGAAACCAGTCTCTTTTCTCCTCAGTTACTATCAAACACTATTTTTACAGCACTTTGTATAGAGGATTTTGTTTATTTATTTACTTGTGTTCCCCGTACCATTGGAATCCATTTTCAGGAAACAAAGCTCTCCTCTATGCCCTTCACTGCTATTCCCAGTGACTAACTTTGCTTTGCACACACTAGGAGCTAAATAAATACTTGAATAAATGAATTTTCCTGAGCCAAAAAGCTAGGATCCAGACAAAATGCGAAAGTTTGGCTGATTCCAAAGGCCTTACTCTTTTCAGTCTATTAGATGCTTTTCATTGTTTAAGTTTTGATAAAGGTTTTAACCAAGAGCTTATAAAAGAATGGTTCATAATTGGAAATCTATAAATCTAGACTATATGAGAGGGAAATAAATGCAGGCGAAGGAGGAAAAACATCTGTTTCTGATCATTTCATATGAAATTAAATTTATGTCATAAGATCTGGAGACATAGTTCATTTTACCTAATCATATCTTAAAATTTGCGTAGGAATTGATGGGTTTTTCTTTTTCAGCTAAAATTCTGTATTAAAAGCACTGGGGAACTTGTTATTTAGATGTAGCCTGAAGCAATTCCTTTTGCACAGCAAATAATCTTGCCTTAATTTCTGTTTCATAAGTTGACATTTCTGCACTAAAGTTGTTTTTTCTTTTTAACAAGTTCTGACATGATGCAATTTTCATAGTTGGTAGGATAAGCTTTAGCTTTTTAGCTTCAAGACACATTTCCAGTGCAATCACATGATAGTCTAGTGGTCTATATACAAACATATTCTCTGAAATGCAATTAAGTAGAGAATTGGTACTGCGAGATTAAAGAGATAAAACCTAGTGACAGACTCAGGATTCGTCCTGCTGCGTTCTCTGTTCCCAGCCATATTTCGTGATTCCCTGGTACTCTTGCAGGCCTCGTTCAAACGTCCTTTACCAGCCAGCAGTTCCTAACAAGAGATGGCATTCCATCTTTTCAGGGCAGTTGCGCCAAAGATCCAAAAAGAAAAAAGACTGTTCTGTCTACTTACACGAGAGCCGTTTGCTTTTTTCTTTTTTTTTTTCCTGATGAGGAAATTTGTGCTGAATACCTCAACCAGTCAGGGCTCCTGCGGTTGGTCAGGCTACCTCTGCTCAGTCACACAGGGAGGGCACAGGGTCCTCCTGTTACAGGCAGAGCTAGCTGGACACACTGTTTAACCCCCACTCTTGTCTAAGTGCTTCCGTGATCCCTGGTTATTTCCAGCTATTTGCAGAGCCACATCCTTCTTCCCAGGCTGGGCAGACTCTTCTGATCAGCAGCCAAGCCCAGGCTAAAAGTCCTGACCAAGAAATCAAATGGCAGAAGATTCAGGAGTCAAAAAGTAATCAATAAAAATCCATGCTCCCCTGCACAGGCTGGTCACTAGCATTTACGAGGGTTCCTCAAGGCAGGACTAGACTGTGGCCCACACTGGGGTCAGGGACACAAATCTGAAAGGCAGAGCCTCATCGAATCACGCCAACTTCAGGGAAGCTACAAGGAACACCTGCTTCTTCAGCGTGGCAGGCACAGTTACCTGCCCAGCACAGCGTGATTTTATTAACGTCAAGAGTAGTCTAATCCTCCAGCGGCACCTGCCTATCGGAGGAGGGGCATGATGCTTACTGAGTTTCTACCAAGAACTGTGGGCGTAGACCCCACCCCTCGATCCCCTCCTCAGCACTAGAAGACAACGAGAACACAGAAGTTCGGAAAGGCCAAGCGCCTGCTGCAGCGCGCAGGGCCCAGCGCAGCGGGTGCTCAGACCCAGGCCAGGGCGCCCCCCACCCCCGCCGCTCTCCCTCCGCCTCAGCCCCCGGGCAGCGTGTGGAACAGGAGCCAATAGCAGCGGCAGCTGCGGCGGCCCGCTGAGCTGACATCTCCGGGCTGAGCGCTCACCTGGCCGGCAGGCCTTCCTAGGTCCGCAGGAGCTCCTGGAACCGTGACTCCATTCATCAGCATTCCTTTAAGGCGGAATACCTGGGTCACAGAGGGGTTAACTACCACATCCGACCGACCGAGTAAGGCTGCTTCTGGCCTTTCACCTCAGCTGGGGTACACTGCAGACACGCGTGCAGGCAGGGGCGCCCGTGACCCTGAACTGAGCGCCGAGCCGGCGGGCTCTGCCTGGCTTCAGCCGCTGGCTCGGGCACCTCACGGCGTCCTGAGCTCTAATTAGGCTATTTGTAAAATGGAGGAGGAGAGAGAAAGAGAAAATTTGCGCTACGCATTTTAAGTTGTTTTTACATTACAAAAGCATTAAAAACATACAGGAAAATTGAGAAATAGATATTAGGGGAAAGAAATCATCCAGCATTTCATCTTTCTAACCCAATTACTATTAGTCATGATTTTGGTCTTGCTCTTGCTCTTTTTAAAATTCGTGTGATTCGCCTAGCAGCTATACAGGTTGTGTCTTTTTTATTCATTGCTTTCTTGGTGGTTTTACTTAATATTGTCAAAAATTTTACAAGTTGCTTCCTGATTTTTACAATCACCAAAAATAATGATGCATATTTCTTTTGTCATTCAGTTTGTTTATTGGTTCGTTTTTAACTGTTAAAGACTTAATTTTTCTTATTTGTAAATACAAGGCAACATTACATCTTTTTATATATACATGCATATATGTGTTTCTAAGAAAATAGATTCCTCAGAAGAAACTTACTACCTCTAAGGATTTGATGATTTTCCCAGATTTTGGTGCATGATGTGAAATTGCTCTCCAAAGGGGCTGTACTGACTCACTGTGCCATCTGAAATTACCCATTTTGCTGCATGTTAACCAGAATTGGTTATTATCATTTAAATTTTTGGAGATTTGATAGGCAAAGTGATGCCTAATTGTTTTAATTTGCATGTTGTTGATAAACGGAGGAAGCCAATCCTTTTTCCATATTTTTGTATTCCTCCCTCTTTCAGGCCCAGGTGGTTTTTGAGATCCTTATCCTTTAAGGTCCAACCTCTAATGTTTTAGGGTCAGAGCCTCCCAGATGCCCACGGGTGAGACACAGTGACGTGAGTGCGACAGGAGACTGTGTGGAGACGGGAGAGGCTGCATTAGGCACTGGCTAGAAGGAGGCAGAGAGGGAAAATTAAGAACTAACCAGAGAATTCCTCAAGGGTGATTTTGACCGGGCTCAGAAGGGAGCTCCCCTCTTCAGTTTGGGAACTCACTGATGTGCATGGGAAATATGGAGCTGCTTTCTCTAATGAGACTAGAAAGGGAAAAGGAGAATTCACCCATAAGGTAAAAGTTAGGATAATGTTGGCATTACTCAAACTGCGACTCTGTTTTAAGGCTGACATTAGGAATTAGGACTGACATCTTCCTTAAAGACAGATATGGTTTACCAGCTCTTTCTGTCTGATTGGCAGGTTTAAGGTACTTGAATGGATCTCCCTAGAAGTCCATTGAGAACCAATTCTGTATGTTACAATGGGTCCATTCAACTAACTTGCTTCATCAAAAAGTCAATAAAAATCTGTAACCTTCAAAAACTGGAGGCTTCCCCACTGTTGCCAGATACTCCAGCCTTCCTTTCATGTACTTACTTTAATTGTTCCCATGTCTCTTCACCAAATTTCTCTGTCACAAGAGACTGCAGACAGATGTTGATAAATCCATACTAGAATACAAAACCAGAAGACAGGTGAGTGTAAGAAAGCCAGAAATCCCACGGCCTAGACATCTTCACAGTGTCTTCCTGGCATCTTCTTGGGGAAACTAATTCTACCTTTTCTTGTGACTTCATTTGCTAAATAGGGAACACCTTACAGCCTACTACTCCAATTATCTCCCTAGAGAATATATTTGAGTTACATTAAAAATCAGATCATAATCAGACGAAGTTAAACAAAGCCTTTACTGTTCATTGTAATCTTCTCCAAAATTGGGAACTGGTTTGGTTACACCAAAGAATTAAAAAACACACCAGTGGCCATGGGGCACTTAGATGTGAGAGAGAAGATGGTCACGCACTTTGTGTCAATTACAAAAAGCCAGTGAAAGGACAAATTATTCTCTTTATAAAAAATGAATCTAGGGGTATGTGTGTGGTGTGTAGGACATAAAGAGCTGAGGAAATGGAGAAAATCAACAATAAAGAAATGTGACACCAGATTAGCAGAAAGACCTGCCTTCTCCGTGTCCCCTTCCTCGAGCTCTCCCTTCTCTCTCTCTTTTCCTGGTAGAGTCTAAAAGAAGGCGGCCCCTGCCAGCTCCACACACTGAGGGCAGAGCTCTACACTGGCCACCTGCTTTCTGCAAGGTGGGGGCTCCCCACCTCAGGGCAGGTGATAGAATTGTATTTAAATAGCACCAAGTGAGCTCAGCTTTCAAAAGATGGCTTCCTAAAAGGATGAATCCTTTTGTCCCCCAAATATCAGGCTCGTGGTTTATTTTTATAAGTTTGGGTTTTCACATATAGGAATGTCTTAAAGAGAAAGAGCCCAGTGCCAACAGGAGACAGGGGTCTAAACTCTGGCAGATGTTTTTTTTCTGGAAACAAAAACATTTATCCTGCTTGGCTATATTTCTGGTCAACTACCACAAGGTCATCCTCACCCCTTCCTCCACCTGGCTGCCCACCACAAGGTCACCCTGACCCTTCTCCACCTTCTCCTGGCTCCACATAGCCCCAGGTATGCCCGAGCTCCAGCCCAGCTTTCAAAGCGCTCCCTAGAGCTGCCTTACTTTATGGTTCTTTCTGTCACCTGCTCCTGCCTGTCACCCTTCCTCAAACAAAGAAGTCACGTATTGAGCAGGCAGGCCCTCTCTTGCTTAGGGCCGGTCTGGGATCCACGCTGCCCAGTCTGAGGAGCTGTTCCCACTCCCTCTGCCAGCACCAGTGACCATTCCCTGTGTCACACTCATCACCACGGGGCTGCTTTGTAAAATACCTCACACACACACACATACTGTAGGTCTGTATGCATTTGTATATACATATATACTATTTTTATACATACATACATATACACACATATTTTTCTCCTGTTCTTTGCTAAATTACAGACTCCTAAGGGTCAGGAAGTAGGTATCACTTAGCTATATTTTCACTAAGGTGCCAAGGGAGTGCCTGGTACACAGATACAAGAATACCTATTGAATAAGTAACTGCTGAATTGATGCCTCCAATCTGAACTCATAAAAATCATTAAAAGTCCTTCCAAGTGTCTTACATCAATCCAATGTTAACAAAGACAGTAATTGTTTTTCCCAGAAATCTTTGCAAAAGAGTGCTGGGTCTCACAGTGTTGGCCACCAAAGCCTGAGTGACTCATGACACCTTCCTCATGTGGAGCCCAAGGGAGAGACAGAGGGGAACCCACAGTCTGCTTCTGGGTTAGCTGCACAGAATCACATATGATGGATTCACGGTCAACGAGAGCTGTGGGCCAGCACTTCTCCTTGATGTCTACCAGTCCCCAAAGCCAGTGATAGAGCTTGTCATTTGGAGACCTTCAGCTTATGTTGATAGGTCAGAGAGAGGCCCTACACCTTCTGTTGATTACACAAGTGACCCTCTCCTGCCCACTGAAATTAGCGGGCTTTCCCCACCCTGGAAAGAGCAAAAGGGGCAGCTGAAGGAGGGTCCCATGCAAAGGTGCAGTGTGTGCAGGAGCCTCGGCATTGCCGCCCTGCAGGGGCCGGGCATGTGCAGCAAGACACTCCTTACACATTCCGAGGCCTGGTTGAAAAGGGCAAGAGTCACCAGCACCAGAGATCACTAACACTCTGGAACTAGTACCATTAAACCAGTTAGGTCAACAATCCAGCGGGCACTCTCATGGGCCGGGGGCACTCACATCTTTCAGGGGCTACCTGGGTCCATAGCTATGACATCCCTGAGAAACATCAAGTTTAAAAGAACCAATTAAAACATCTGAACATGTTGAAGTACAGCTAAACCTTTCTCCTGCAATGATGACTTTCCACATTCCATACCCAATCCTACTCATCACGCCTGCCATCCATTGGCTGGGGAAAAGGGCTTAAATGGGATTTCTACCTCTGAGCTTTGTGGCTATGCAGCTTTGGGTACATTACCTAGCCTCTCTGAGCCCATCTTCTCTTGAGTTAAAGTGACAATGACACTGCTTGTTCTGCTGCAGGACTATTGTCAGGCATGTGGAGCAACAGTACTGGGGTCAGACTAGCAGGGCTGATCACCGCCCAAGTCTCACGAGCTATTCTACCTGGACCAGCTCTCCCAAGCCATCAGTGGTTTCTGGAAAATGAGGAGGAGATGGCTCCTTCCTCACAGGGTCTTAGTAAGGATCTAATGAGATGACAGGTTGCAGGTGCAAGGCAGGCGGTGAGCACTCAGGAAACTACAGCCAGGCTTCTTATCCACTGTGCATTTCCAGCAACAGGCACTCATCACACAGAAGCTGAGGGGAAGGTGGGGCCGAGGGCTGCGAGAGCTGCTCACCATGTCCCCTCTGCTGCAGGACTCCAAGAGCCCAATCTTCTGGCCAGCCCCTCGTCCTCAGAAGAATCCTCTGCACCTCCAGAAGCTGGCCTTGTAGCGTCTGGGTGGTCCACAGGGAAATTAGGAACTAATTACCAGCCTCCCACACAAGGGGCAAACTGTTGAGCCCTTAGCCATCTAGGGAATAAAAAGTAAGCCTGCTCCTCCCAGTGGGTGGGTGTGACCTGCCACCTAGCACCCCAAGTCCTGCATATCCCGGATGTGAAGGTCTCAGGAGCTCAGCCTGAAATCTGAAGTTTCTCCCCAAGGTGCCAACATAACAGAATGCCATCTGCCCGCACAGCCCTGCAGAGCGTGGGGAGGAGGGCCCTGCAGACTGCCACCTGCCTGGGGGAAAGCTTGGGAGACCAGCTCACCTGTGATTTGCTGGACCCAGGGGGCTCTTCAGCTCTTCCCACTTAATCTAGCTGCAAATTCAGAAACCCACTCCTCTCCCTCTCCTACTCAGTTCCTCCTCTGAGAGGCTGGTGTCTGATTCCTGGAACCAGGCAAGCTCTTGCAAAACCCCTTGTGCTTTCCTTCACAGACTGTTGGTCTCCCACCTACACAATGTCACCATAAGCAGCACCAGTAAATGGCACCTGGGAAGATAGGGACGTAGCGCATGTGCTCGGCTCCCAGCTGGCTGGTCACAGATGTCAGACCCTGAACTTGACTTTGGGTATACCCTAGTCTACTGCAGGAAGATATCCTTGTAGACGAGGTTGTCTATTGAAAGGTCTTTTTAGTCCCTCTTTAATTAAATCACTTTGGCTGCCATCCAAAAATGGCCTATCTTGACCAACACTTGGCCCTCTGTCATAGCGTGAAGTCTCCTGATGCCTAAAGGTCTTATCTTCCATCCGCATCTCTGTTCCATTCTAGGCTCCTGAAAGCCGTTTGCCAGACGTCTGTTTCCTAAGTGGTCAGAGGTGAGAAACCCAGCTACTAACCAGGTCTGGCGGATGTTGCCCACAGCATTTCCAGCAGACACACCGGCTTTGGTGTAAAAACAAGAGTAAAAATAAATAAATGCAATAAAATCAAGAGGTGGGGTTGCAGCCCTCTGGGCTCCAGTGTGGGGGCACAGTGCAGCTGGAGGGATGCAACTCGCGGTTAGGATGGCATCTCATGAAGCTACGCGCGGACATGGAGCAGGCGGCTGAGATGAATGCCCATAAATCGGACGCCCTCCTGAAACACCTGCAGCATCTTTGGGCAACCCCAGTTTGTTGAAAGACTTTTTCCTTCTCAGTAGCCACTCCTTCATGCTTCTCTACTCAAATCCCTCTCACACCCTGTCTCTTTCTGCAGCTCCCCTAGAAAGATCTCCTGCCTCTCCCTTCCATCCAACTGTTCTGGTCCCTTGCAGGCCACCGTCCTGGCTTCACTCAGACCACTTCTTCCATGGAAAGACCTGATACTTGAGAGACTAGCACTTACTGAAGGCCCCTCTTCTTTCTGAAGTGGGGACTTTGCTTATTCTCAAAAGCTGGACTCCATGTGCTATTCCTATGTGGAAGGGACATGTGGTCAGAAGGAGAAAAATAGGCTCTGGCATGGATTCCTGGGTGATTTCCATAATTATGCATCCCAAGCCTTTTGCCACCATTCAGCTGACACTCTTTCTTTCTGCCTTGCCAAGTGGGCTTGGTCTGGCTCTCTCTCACATTCCACCCTCACCCCCACCCCAACACTGGTTTTTCAAGCACATACACCAGCACCCTCACATTTCACAATAAGTAAATGGCTAAAACAAAAAAACCCTCCACTTTCTTTTTCATGCAGCAGATGGCAGTTCTCAGGAACTTGGTGGAAATTAGGCTTTCTGATTTTCCAATAAATTTCAGCATCTCACACAAAAAGCATAAGTTCATTTTGATTCTGATGTTAAGTGCCATATGGCATGTCATCCGTGGAACGTGGCAGCTCATGCTCAGGGTAACAAGGAAGGGAGGATCCTTCCTATAACAAGGAGGCTGAACGCCTGTGGACCAATTGGATTCCTGGGTGAATACCATTTGATAATAATATTGTATATGACAGTGGAGTAATTATCCCTCTTTTATGGTATGTGTTAATTTTCTCTGCCAGTTTCCCTAATTACAACTGCCACCCAATGGACCACGTTTTGTAAATACTCTGTAAACATTTGAAAAGACATAGACAGTGTGTGAGTGAAGAAAAACATCCCTGGATCTCAAAACTGACTGGAAAATTGGCTGACATTTTATGTTTTTCAATCGCATAGACAGCCAGAGGGGAACCGTGACTATATGGAAACCCCGCTTCTCTCTTCCATGACATAAGGAGCCTTCCTGCCCATGCTGTGATCATGGTTTTGAGCAACATCTTTCATTGCTACTGGTTTTGATCTCAAGCAAGCAGTTTCATGACTTTTGACAAATGTGTACACCATGTAACTCACACCCTGTTAAAGATACAGAGCACCTCTGTTGTCTCAGGGGTTTCCTGGTGCCACTTCTCAGGGGTTTCCTGCCCCCACACCCATGGCTCGGCCCACAGCCTCACCACCATCACAGACAGTTGTGCTTGCTCTCGACCTTCATGTGAGTTTAATCGCATGGTATGTTCTCTGCTGCGTCTGTTCTTAACTTTGAATTCATGAAGAGTTCAGATTTCATTCCTCAAATTAGACAGATGTGTGTAAACACGGCCTTGTTTGCTGTGTGTCCTGTGATGTGGAATGAGCTCTACCAAGCCACACCCCATCTCCTGCAGTCCCTGCACGGTGTGTGGTGAGAAACACACACCGTTTATGTTGTGAGGGACAGGGGGAAAGGCAGGACACCGTGAGAGGTCACTGGAGCACACTCTGCATTTAAGAAATGAAAGGAAGGCCGCTGGGTAAGAAGAGCTGGGAGAAAGTAGAACCATGCCGTGGTTTCCATTGGATTCTCTGCACTTGAGGGGCTGCAGCCACCTCACTCTTGGTGGGGAGCCCCTTCTGCAGTCCATGTGCTGCTCCCAGTTCTCCCTCAGACTTCCTGGCTTCCGGGCTGCTGCTGGCTCTCTACCAGGGCCTAAATCAGAAGAGGACAGTGCTCCCAGGCCTGAGGTGAGGTGTGGCTGGACTCCTGGGCCCAAGATGCCCTTCTGATCAAAAATATCTCCCTTTATGCCTCCCAGGTGTCTGAAA